TTCATAAACATGATGATATTAATGGAGAAACTTTAAAAAATGTTCATAGTATAAAATTTAAGTTACACAAAGTAGAAAAATAATAGCGTAATGAATTTCCCAAGTACCCATCACTTGGCTTCAACATTTATAACATAACTATCATGTTATCAGTATCATCAGAAACTAAATTTTATATCTTTGACTTGTTAATTTTTACAAACACATCCATTTTTTTTAGTTTTAAGTAATTTCTATACCCTAAGTGGGGTTCAAGCTCACAATTCTGAAATCAAGAGTCACAAGCTCTACCAACTGAGCTAGCCAGGCACCCTGAAACACATCTAAATAAGTGGGTCATAGCCTTCAAATACACCTATAAATAGCACTGTGGGTTTTTTTTAATGTTTATTTATTTATTTTGAGAGAGCGCGTGCATGTGCACACACACGTGGGAGAGGAGCAGAAAAAGGGGGGAGAGAGAGAATCCTAAGCAGGCTCCCTGCTGTCAGCTCAAACCATAAGATCATGACCTGAGCAGAGAGACCTGAGGTGATCAAGAGTCAGATGCTTAAATGCTTAACTGACTGAGCCACCCAGGTGCCCCTAGCATTGTTTTTGATAGATAAGATGAAAGATTAAAGAAAAACCGTAAAAAAAAAACACTAAGTTTAGTCTAAAGAAGCAAAATGAATACATATTCCAAAGCATAAATTTACCTGGTGTCAGTTAAAGAGAAAGAGAAATTTGAGCCTGAATTAAATTTAATGAATAGGTTTCCTTTTTTGATTTGTTGGATTATCACAGCTCAACTATTTCAGAGATTATGAACGATCACCTACTCTTCATCAGTCCTAAGGCAACCTATCTATAACTAAAACTCCAATATTTCCAACACAGTACTGTTTGATAATTTTAACTATCATTTCTCATCCAGAACTATGGCACTTACTTTCTTTGAACCACTCAAATCCTCCCCACATGTTTAGTTTATTGATTTTTCTCATTACTCCACCTTCCTTCAAAGACATAATCACCTGTTTCATTTTCAACTCTAATTCCATTGACTCTCCACAAATCAGCCCTTGGAAAGCTCAGTCCCTGATATAACCCTAACCAGCCATTCTTTCTGTTCCTATTTCCAGGTATTAGAAAACTACTGGGGAAACAGAAACAAAGCAAAATGTATATACTACAAGTTTTTAAAGCATAACCCCAACTTATCCATTGCTACTTACTACTTTCTATTTATGCCTCAAATTCCAAGACATAATCTCTATGAGATTAGAATTTCTTTAAAATACAATGTGCCTTTTTCATACAATCCTCCCCTCCAAACTTTAAAACCTCTCCTTGCTAATTACTGACAGGTTCAATAGTGATTGCTGATAAGGTCAATTGTTATTGTGCCAAAATGGGAGAATGAGGCCTCAACTGCCATCTGCCTCTCTATCTTAACACAACCTTGTCTCTGTATCTTCTTTGTCCCATTCCTTCCATTACTTCAGAAAATGAGATTGTTGCTCCTTTCCTCTGAAGAGAACTTTACCACCTATTCTGAGGAGTCCATATTATTCTGACTTTTCAGCATCTTTGTCCTCACACCCATCCTTTTTCAGTAAAATCTTTTGTACTCCAATAGCTCCTTGATGCTGTTGCACTTGACAATTGATAACTGACCGCTTTATCAGTTTCTCTCCAAGACTACTATCATGACACTGTCCTATTTCCAGTTCTCAGTCATATGTCACATTATGCCTATACTGGTTTCTTTTACACGCTCTCACTCTTAATGCTTATTGCCTTTCCCCCACCAAGTTTAATCGTTGTTCTCTGTTTTCGCTATTGTCTACTGGAGAATGGGATGGAAGAGGGAGTGGAGAATTACAGGGAGGAATTAAGCTGGCAATTTGTAGTTTCCCACATATTCTCAATGATAAAAAAAAAAATTGAGAACTATGGCTCACCACTCTCAATGAAGTATTCATTTATTCTCATACTTATGGTAAGTAAACTACCATACTTAGGTCTATGCAATAACTCCCCCATTCAGTTTTTCTCTATAATTTGACCTCTTCCCTGACACTCGACGCTTCTAGAGGCATGATGAATATTTATATTTTCATGTCCCACTATCAGACATTTCCAACCTGACACAACTAAACTTTGACATCTCCCAGCTGAAAACACTTTATCTTTTGAATGATGCAATCTCTATTACCCAGATTAGAAAAGGTGGGGTCATCTTCATTTCCTTTGTCCAGTTAGAGATCATTTAGGCTCCAACATTGTCTTCATCAAAGAGAAGGGATATAAAGTGTAAGCACCACTTGTGTTTACAGTGAAATCTGACAGCTACTTTTTGTACCCTATTCACTATTTTTCTCTACCTCAGCCTTTCTCAAACCTTCTGGTGTCTAGACTATTACAGTCCTAAAAATTATTGAGGACCCCAAAGAGCTTTGGTCTATGTAGGTTATATCTACCCATACTTACCATACTAGAAATGAAAATTGAGAAAAATTTTAAAAAGAATAAATAAGCACATATTCCATTAACTCTCAGAGCAATGATATTATCACATATCATATAGCCTGGAAAACTCCACTGACATCTGTGAAAGAATGAGAATGAAAAGGCAAATAATAGCTTAGTATTATTATGAAAATAGTTCTGACCTCTAGCACCCCTGGCTCTCTTTGAGAAAACTGCTTTATCAGACCCTGCTTCTCTTAATCTGTCTCCCTATCAATCACTGATTACTGATGAGTAACGTTTGTGTGTAGCCATATCCTGGAGGCAGACAGGAGGCTTAAAAACCACAGATTTATAAAATAGCCTCCAAATTAATAAGCACGCCTGCTCATTAACAGTCTAACACAACTATCAATTTTATTTCCTGCTAATGCTATTTCCTTCCCTCTGACTCTGCACTTCCAACCAAGGTTTGAATCATGAAAAAGAACAAATCTTTTTCTGCTTCACCAGCTTTGAATACGCTATTCCCTCTGGCTGGAAGGCCTTCTATCAACTCATCCTTCAGATCCAGTTCATAGATTACCTCTTTTATAAAGCTTTCCCTGACACAACGCATCCCCAATTACCCTTTTCTAATTCCAAAGCACATTTAGAACTTATCACATTGCACTGTAATTATTTATATGTGTCTCCCCACTAAATGGGAGCTACATGAGGGCAGACTTGCATCTTGCTTGTTTTTGTACTTCTAGTACCTCACACGTAGTAGGAACTCAAATGTTTGATCATTTCATTGAAGCCATGTCTGAAAGAGTCAATTCAAAGCTCATCTATCTCCAAATATTTCAGATCACAGCACTTGCTCCTTCCTCTGAACTTTGGTAGTTCTGGTATCTAAGAGATATCTGATATCTGGTAACTAAGAGAAAAGAAAATCTAAAGAACTGTTATCCCTTCCTACAAAAAGACTAGGGTCTTTGGCCTGTATATCAAGTCTGACTCTGACATTTAAGGGCTTTCATCAAGTGGTTCTTCACCTTTCAGTCTTACTTTTTATTATTCACCAGTATGAACTTACCATTTCTGTCGGCTAATAAACACACATGCACGCACACACGCGCACGCACACACACAATCCATTCTATTTTCATCCCTTTTGTTTATATCCTTCCCGCTCCCACAATTCCATTTCCTTATTATTTCAAATTTACTTTTCCTTAAAAGCTTGGTATAAGACCCATCAATTCCATGAAGCTCTCTGGGGCTATGACAGACTAAAGAAAAATTTCCCCTTTTAGAATATCTAACACATTTCAATCTGTTGTTTACAACTGAAAAATTTATATTTATATAACAGATGTATACATATATAGATGTATTTATAATGTATTGCCTTGCATTGTCCTTTAATAAGTCAATGATGCAACCCCAAATAGCTCCCCAGCTAAAGCAGACACAGTCTTCATCAAACATTTGAGGGCCATTATGTACCAGATACTGCTAAGGTTTCTAATCTTATTTCTTTTGCATCAGCCCTTGCTAGTAACAGGAAGATGAAGGCACGTAATATATGCTATTTCCTTTACTTAATTTTTTTCCTAACCGGTCAGAATAATCCAGGTTATTTTTTTTTCTAGGAAACAGTTTATCAATGGATATACTTATCAATTAGAAAATAAGAGGTGTGCTATAAGATCCTGCATCTCAGCACCCTCAAACTGCAAGCTTGAGTAAGACACTTCAGTTATACACAACACACTGAGTCCCCTCAATATACTTTAACTTGTGAAGGGCCCTTACCTTTCTTGTTCCTTTACCTTGAATATATCTTTTCTTATTTGAGTCATTACAATTTTAATTCCCTTAACCTTGACAAGTTCTGATGCAAGGAGTATGCAATAATGTAATAACAGTCATAATGCCAAACTGTTTAAGCAGAAACAAATAAACAAGGCAAATAAAAATCATGCATAAAATGAAAACAATCTTTGAAAACCAAGAAGTTATGGTAACTGGGCTCAGACCAATGCTTTCCCTTAAATGGAATTTGTCTAACGGGCCACATCTTCCCTATCACCATTTCCTTAAGTATCTACACCCAAATGGAGCAAGTATTAGTTGGAAAATCGGCTAAACATAACCATCAAAACTTGTTCCCTGCTATCATGGATTGATGGTAAGTAACTTCTAAAGATCATTTTCCCCAGTTCTTCACTCTTGCATATGTGACAGTCAGTAAGAAGGAAACACAGAAAAATACAGTTAAAAAAAAAATAATCCTAGGGTTTAGGGTGCTCTAAGTCCTTGTTTTTAAGAACATCAACTGAATGTTGAACTCGTATTTAAACACGAGAGAGACCTGAGGTTGCCGGCAATTCTTTTACAAAATACATATAAGAATATTCTTTGGACAAGAGTCCCAGAATAAATTTCATGGGAGAACGAGGAAAGAAAAGAGGAAACCGTCAGCTGACATGCAGCAGCTCCTTCACCCCGTTTTTCCCCCTCCCCAAAAGCTGTAGGAAATAGCTGCAGAAATGTACCTTCCAGGCCAGAAGCAAAACATTGAGGATGGCCAGCAAAGGGCAGGGTCCATTCTCATTCTGAGTGATGATGGGTGTGTTCTCTTCCTTCCACTGGATCCACTTGATGTGATAGACAGATTGTCCCGGGAAGCGTTCCTTGGAGGCCGCCAGTACCTGAGCTTCCTCCCCCTCCTCCTCCTCTTCTCGGCAAAGAGGCACAGCCCGGGGCAACACCGCCGCGCCCTCGCCCTCCTCCTCCTCCCCGGGGACCCGGTTCTCTGCTCCCTCCTCACTATTAAACTCAGAGCTACTGGGGAAAGAATGCAGGTTGGAGAACGACTCCAGGGAGTCCAGGCTTGGCGATTCCCCAGGAGGGCTCGGGTCGCTGCAACTGCTACTGAGGCCGCCGGCGCTGCTAGGCTCCTCGGAGCCGGCCACCGCCAACTCTGCCCGGCAGGTGCGGGCGGAATCCGCGCGGCAGCCGGCGTCTCCGGCCGGACCCGATCCATGGTCCGCTCCGGCCTCCGCGGTCTCCGGCGAGGCGGTCACCTTGTGTTGCCCTCTCAGAGGCGCCTTCTGAGCAGCAATGTTCTCCAAATCGCTCTCCTTCAAGTCCAAGCCCGGAAAGGAGCTGCAGGGTCTGGGAACCTGAGGAGAGCCGGCGGGAGAAACGGAGTCCAAGAGGCTCCTCCCGGCGGCCGCCGCCCCCTGCCCATTCCCGCCTCTGCTCTCCGCCGCCCATACTCCAGGACCATCTCCGGCGGCGAGCCTGGTCTCCGGTGGCCCTTCCTGCGGAGAACCTGTCCCTGGCGTTGGCCCGATGGCCACCCCGTGTTCTAGTGGCTGCAGGCTCTCGGGGCCGCTCTCCATGCCCAGCCGCCAGCCCCTCGCTCTAAGGAGACCGCGGCGGGTTCTCTTCAGCCAGCGGCTCGGACGCCATGACAGCGGCACTGGCAGCTACAGCGCCCTTGCGCGGCCTCGGCCAGGCACGTCACGGGGAGGGCACCGGGAGCGCGCGCGCGCGCCGCCGCGCTATCCGCCTGCTTGGGAAGTGACTGAGCGCCGCCGAGGGAGGGCGACCCCTACCCGGACCCGCCACTCCTACGCGCCCGCCTGCTGGAGCTAGCTCCCGGAAGGCGGGGCGTGGCGGGCGTGGCTAGGAGGTGTGGCCAGAAGGAAAACATCCTCTCACTATGTAGCCGGAAGTTGAACTCTAGGGCAGCCCAACCGCGCGCGGCTTCTTTAAAGGAGAGGCGGGCAGAGACTGTTTCGGTTGTGACCCTTAAGAGCTGGGGTGTGTGTGGCCCAGCCTAGGGCTCAGGATGATGAGTTGCCTGTGGTTGTGTTATTTGGAAAAGAGCTCGTCCCCGAAGAGCTGAGGAGATTTGTTTCCTCCGCTTGTAAGATGGAAAATTGAAGGAATTTCTTACGAGAAGCGGATTTTTAAAGGCTGTGCATCTACTCGAGGTGTTTGGATTACTACACCGCATAAATCCCAGTCTCCCAGGGTTTTGGCTGAGAAACACCGAGCTCCTCACCAGCTACTGGTGAAAACGTTCGCCCTACTTGAGGCGTCAGTGCGGTTGTGGATACTGGCCTGCACAGAAAAAAAAAGTGGGTAATTTTGGGCCAATGATAATAAATTAGCTTCTGCCTGAATTAGCCAAGTCTTTGCGGTTTTGTCAACTTGGCCTCACTTTGAAGGAGTGGGAAGTGCCTGTTCCTGAAAGAGTTTTCTAGTTGCAATTGATTCGTCTTAAGGCCGTGCAATTTTCAGAGAGGACAGAGTAGGCTGCAAATTTTGTTGGTGACAAAATGGGATTTGGGTCCTATTCTGACCTGTTCCCCACAAGGACGCCCCTCTCTCCCCTCCTCCCGTTTTTGTTTGTTTGTTTTTTGTTTTCTGTTTTTTTTTTTTTGTTTTGTTTTTTGTCTTTCAACATTTTTTTTAAATTTTTTTTTTCAACGTTTATTTTATTTTTGGGACAGAGAGAGACAGAGCATGAACGGGGGAGGGGCAGAGAGAGAGGGAGACACAGAATCGGAAACAGGCTCCAGGCTCCGAGCCATCAGCCCAGAGCCCGACGCGGGGCTCGAACTCACGGACCGCGAGATCGTGACCTGGCTGAAGTCGGGCGCTTAACCGACTGCGCCACCCCGGCGCCCCAGTCTTTCAACATTTTTTAAGCTCCGGGGATACAAAAGATGACAGGGCAGGTCATCTTTCGTGGTTAGCCATAGAAATAACTGACATCTAATGGAACGGTATCTTTCTGTATCTCTTTTCATTCGAGAAGGTAGACAAAATTACAAATTGGTATTTCATTCACTCATTTAACACCCCTCAAGTCCAAGTACATTCTGGAAACTGGCACTGGCGAATAAGAGAAAGGGCTCATATCTTCTTTGGGTTTACTATCTAGTAGTTTCTTGTTTTGTTTTTTCTTATTCCTACGTTTTTATTTATTTTCACTTTTTTTTTAATTTTTTAATTTATATTTTGAGAGACTGAGCAAGCAGAGGAAGGGCGGGGTGGGGGGGGAGGGGTAGAGAGAGAATCGCAAGCAGATTCCACACTGCCAACACAGAGCCCAATGCGAGGTTTCAACTCATAAACTGTGAGATCATGACCTGAGCCAAAAACCAAGAGTCAGATGCTTAAGGGACTGAGCCACCCAGGGTAAGACACATACTGCTGAAGGCACCTGGGTGGCTCAGTCTGTAGAACATGATCTCAGGGTCGTAATTCGAGCCACACTTTGGATGTAGAGTTTACAAGGTATATGCTGCTGGATCAAGCTTTTTACAGTATTTAAGGCCATTAAGTGTAAATGAGAATATAAGAGATTTCAGGAAATTCAGAATTTAGTATGCTGCCTTGATTATAAATAGATGTCTAAAGGTGTATTATATGGCTGCCTGGCTGGCTCAGTCCGTAGAGCATGCAGCTCTTAATCTCAGGGTCGTGAGTTCAAGCCTCACATTGGGTGTGGAGCCACTTAAAAAAATAATACGCTAAAATAAATAAATAAATGAAGGTGTAGTGTATGAGTAAATTGAATGACTGGATCATTTACAGGCCAGAAACCACAGAGCCAAAAAATATGGAACACATGTCTCACATAATAGTCTTTCACCAGTTTTTTTTTTTAAGACTCTGCTTAGATAGGCCTGAACTTGCTCTGGTAGTTTTCATTGGTATATGTTTCAAATGCTCACATGCATAATTTAATAATTTATTTATAATAGAAACAGAACCAATTTTTCTTTTCTATATGTTGTCAGCAAGTACATAATGAACAGTGGTAAAAAAATGTATGCTTGTATGTAATTATTTAAGTTTGTGAAGATGTGCATAGTTATTTTTCTAAGGGAGGTGGGGAGTGGCATCTAGGGAGAAATGTCAGAAGACAATAAGCTGAAAAATGTCTCACTCATTTTTGCTTATATGTATCTTTGGTTTAAGTTCTTGTTTTTCTCAGAATTAACAATTACCTCATCAGTTTGTTTATTTGCTTAACTCTTCACCTACTAGTAGCTCAGCCACAGACTTACCTGTACAGTCACACATATCAGGTTTCCTCCCAGATCCATTTTAATCTTGGGTATATCCCTCCTGAAACACTTCTCTTACTCTGATCTAAACTTACTGTTCTGTAGGACTGCTGCACGTGTCATCCTGGGATTTCTCTTCACTATTGTCTTACGAGTTCCCTCCTCCTCATTTCCGTGTTGATTCCTTCCTTCAATCTCCTTCTTCCTCTTTCTTGGACCTGGTGGAACATACTCTTTTTTAGCTTCCTGAGAATGAGTGCATAGGAAGCACATTTTGAGGGACTGTCTATGTCTGAAAAAGAGATAGAACTCTACTCTACCTTTACCTTTATAGTTTGGCTAGACATAAAATTAAAGGAAATACTTCTTCCTTTTGAAGTCATTGATTATTGTCTTTCAGCTTCCAAATGATTATAGAGTAGTCTGATGTTCCAGAACCTTTGTGTATTACCTATTTCTTCTCTCTGAAGTGTATTTGATTGTCTCTTTCTTCTTGGTGTTCTGACATTTCAGTATTTGATGTTGTTTTGTTTTGTTTTGTTTTTGTTTTTAGGTAGGCTTAATGCCCAATGCAGGGCCTGAACTCAGGACCCTGAGATCAAGACCCTGAGTTGGAGAACTGTGCTGAGATCAAGAGTCAGATGCTTAATCAACTAAGCCACCCAGGTGCCCCAATATTTGATAGTTTTGAATGGGTCTTGCTTTATTTATTGGGATGCATACTTGATGATCACACAGTGAATGTAGAAACTTATATTCTTCAGTTCTGGAAATTATTCATTTCTTTTATAATTCTTATTTATTCTTTAATTTTATCTATTCTATTTTCTTTTTTTTTTATTTTTTTTTCAACATTTATTTATTTTTGGGACAGAGAGAGACAGAGTATGAACGGGGGAGGGGCGGAGAGACAGGGAGACACAGAATCGGAAACAGGCTCCAGGCTCTGAGCCATCAGCCCAGAGCCTGACACGGGGCTCGAACTCACGGACCACGAGATAGTGACCTGGCTGAAGTCGGACGCTTAACTGACTGCACCACCCAGGCGCCCCTATTTGTTCTATTTTCTAAGAGATTTTCTCAACTTTATCTTTCAATTCTTTTTTTTTAAATGTTTATTTATTTGGAGAGAAAGAGAGAGTGCACACCCACATGCACACACGTATGCAAGACAGGGGAAGGGGCGGGGGGGGGGGTAGAGAGAGAATCTCAAGTAGGTTCTGCGCTGTCAATGCATAGCTCAATGCAGGGCTCGATCCCATCAAGTGGGAGATCATGACCTGAGCCAAAACCCAGAATTGGGTGCCCAACCGACAGAGCCTCCCAGACACCCATTCAATTATTTTTAATGCATTACTTACTGGTGCCGTTGTATATTTAACTTCCAAGAATTCTTTGTAGTTCCTTTTTATTGCTTAGAAACATCCTGATCATTCATCTCTTAGAATATTGATTACAGTTTTTTTTGTATCCTTTATATTTTTGAAAGGATATCTGAACAATATGCTATAAAAAATATACTTAGTATGGAGTTATTGACAGTTCCAGAGAGAGTGAGATATGGGCGATACAAGTGTAAAACATTGGTTTTACTCTTTGGAAGGGCAAAATCTGTTTTGGGAAATAAGATATATTCACATGAAATACTGAGAATATAAGACAGTTAATAATTCATACTGAATGAGTGGTACAAGCAATAACTTATAAAAATTCAGATGAGGAAAATCTTTTCGTATGAGATAATTGAGGAATTAAGCTATATTAGCCTAATTGAAATCATAGGCTGATTGTTACCTCAAGCTTAAGAAATCCAAAAACTATATCTCTAACTCTCAAAATTATTATTCTTTAAAATTTTTTTTAAATTGAATCATAGCTAGCTACCATAACAGCAAAGTTGGTACTATCTTTGACTTTTCCCCAGATTTATTTGCTATTACCTCATCTGTCAAGTCTTACTGATATTATACACTCCTTTTCTATTTCATTTATCTGTAGCCACCCCCTTGCTAAGTCTTTATCACCTTACTGCTAGTGTGTATCATCATTCTAATTATTCCTCAGCCTATCGTTTTTTTTCCCCCTAAATCCTCATATTCCATAGAAATAAGTCAATAAACAATATCTACAACTTTTTAATGAAGATATGAGTGTAATCATGTTACTCAGAAAGAAATTTGGGGATAAGGAACTAAAGAATACCTAGGAGTACGGAACTGCTTCTAAAGAACAGGACTCAAAAGTGTGGAGGAATAGAGCAGAGAGAATTGCTTTGTTTTTATATAAATTATTTGACTTTTAAGCCTAGTCCGTCTTGCTTTTATTTTGTTGATGGTGCTACTAAAAATAATTTGAAGGTTCTTTATTGTTAGCTGAACCAAAATTGGGTCAGAGCAGATTGCACAGGCTTGGCATATATACCTTTATTTCTTTTCTCTTAGCTTTCTACTCAAGATATGG